CCAGAGCGTCTGTGGTCCCTTGTTGCGCGCCCACTCACATCCTCCATCGCTCACTCACTCCTCCCTCGCTCACCCACTCATTCACTCACTCAACTCACTCACTCACCTCCTCCCTCCCTCCCGCGCCCACTCACTCACTCAGCTCACTCAGCTCACTCACTCACTCTCACTCAGCTCACTCCCTCCCTCGCTCGGCACGTCGCGCGCCTCCTCGTGTGTTACCAGTGCGCGGCCGTCTACGTAGGCGGACTCCGCTTTCTGGCGCCACGGGAGACGCTGTCCTTCCCGGTGCCGCTCCAGAATGAAATCGGCTCGGTGCATTGCTTGGCACAGCAAAACTGTCAGGGTATGATCCGTCACATGCTGAGTATCACGCACGACAGGCAAGATCGGATGGCTGCAGGCNNCACTGCAGCCCGGGGTGTGCACCAAGCGGATGTCTGCATCTTTCAGTAAGTCCGCAACGATCGGCGACAACGTCTTGCAAGCTCTGACCGAGTCGTTCGGAGCACAGGCAGCAAACTAGGCGTGCAGTCCCTGCCTGGAACATCGGCTCATGTCCAACTCACCAAGCAATCCCCGCGCGAACTGTCACCTCAACAGAGAAACAGACCGAGCAGACACCGCTCTGCCTAAACTGCTTCAAGATGATGCCACAATAATTGCAGGTTTGGCGTTTTGGGGGCAATAATCCTGAAATGAGCACCTATGAAATCACAAACCCCGTGCCCCTTCGTCAATGTTGCAAGAACTTGTGCAGTGGCTACTATCGAAATCCTTCTGCATGCCAGGAACCTCTTCAGCAATGCTTCCAGCATCACACAACATTGACGAAGGGGCACGGGGTTTGTGGTTTCTCCACGGTAGCGCGAGATTATTTTGGGCCCTGCTCTGCAGCAGCATGTTCACACTTCTTAGAAGTAGTCTACAACCACTTCTCCCGGCGCTTGCTCCTGCAAGTCTGGGGTGATAAACCGCATATTTCGAGGGTTTCCCTTCCGCAGGACCATCTTGGCAAAGCACGATGCACATCTCGGGATGGTGATGTCAGGATTCGTTTGCGACCGCTTGAATTCAAACACTTTCAATCGCTTTCTCAACATCGTGAGATCGGTGCACGATACACCAGCCTTGACCATCATCAGGTCATCCAATCGACCAGTCAAGAAAAAAGGAGTGCTGCCTTGCCAAATCTCATGTCCAGAAAACTGGTTCTGCGGTCGATTTACAGTCACGGCCAAACCTTCGAAAAGCTGGAGTTGAAGGGCGATGGGAATGATGGCTGCATCGAATCTCCAGTCGTCCCATATGGCAACCCGCGATTTGCAGAGTTCCAGGAGCGGAAATGCACTTGGAGACGGCGAACCTATCACGGTTCCAGGCGGATAGATGTCCTTCATGGGTGACAATAGAAAGGTTTTCCCTTCGTTCCCACCAACACCGAGGAGGGCTATCGTATGGCCTTTGGCGCGGCCATGCTGAAGTGCATCGTAGATGGCCTTCGTGAAGACTTCCTCCGAGATTTCGTTTGCTTCCAGGTTTTGTCGGGCGGCGCGGCCCCAGCGCCCGGCACAAACACAAGATCTTTCTGTTGCCTCCAAGAGGAATTTCAATCTGGATTTCTTAGCTTGGATCACATGGTTTTCAGCTTCCTGCAGCAGCCAGAGTTTCTGACCCAATCCTTTGAGCGTGTCGTGATTCCGGACGAGATAGTCAATCATCGGCGCACCGCCTGACTGCTTCGCATACTGAAAGAGCTGCGCCTCGTACGCCGGATCTTCGGGCCTGAGGTTCAGCTTCACAAGCACGGGCCACAGGTCAGTGGGGCCAAAGCGAGGGGCCGATTTGCCTCGCGACAGTCTGGACTGAGTTTGCGCTAGCGTTTCATCAGCCCAAGCATCAGAATTGAAATTTCGATGCATAGCTTCGGCGAGCGGGGGATGACTGTCTGGATACGTGAAGGGCTCCGGATCAAGGTCTTCGAGGGCTTTCCCAGGCCGCGGAACAAAGCCATATCGCACAGCATTGTGATATCCTCCTGCCAGGGACACAATTTGCGCCGTCTTAGCTTTCACATATCAAAAACAGGCAATAACTTAAAGTGAAACTTTGAGATTGCTGCAACTATTCGAGGCTGCCAGGCCTTTGATGCACGACGAAAAATTCGCCACCAACCCACATGCCTGAAAGATGGCATCGTTCCAAGGCTTCCAACGTGTCGGCTGCGTCACTTTGATGGCGACGTGGGCGTGGTGGCCTGCCGCACCACTACCACGCTCCAAAAAGATCGTGCATTTCTCCACAACAGCACGGTGCTCCTCCGCTCTTCCTGCCTGTGCTGTCTCCAAAGAGGTTCTCATCATCGTGCACAGGTCTGCTCTGCTGAAACTTTCCAAGCGGCGTCTCGCCTCGGCATCTGTCGGTGTAGCAAAAGTCACCACATACACCAACAAAACTTGCGCCGTCTCCACCTTCGAGAAGACAGGGACTTCAGCCGTTGAAGCATCGTTGCGCTTCTTCTTAACATGTTCGACAAGTTGCCTCTGCAACTCTTTCCGTGTAACTTTGTGCAGGATGACTTTCACTTCGCTTCTGCGGTCGGCAAGATCTCCAGCATCCAGCTTCAAAGCGTCTGTCAACTCCGAAAGGAAAGCTCCGAAGGTGAGTTTCTCCAGACTGCGGCCGCGCAACAGTTCTTCAATCACACGACGCAGCGTTTTTGTTGTCACAAAGTCCGCCTTTGGATCGCCCTCAGCCGTCTCCGTGTGCGGCTCTTTGCTCTGATTTTGAAGCTCAGCCGCGTCCGTCTGCGGCTCCGCGCTCTCAGTTTCCAGCTCAGCCGTCTCCGTCTGCGGCTCCGTGCTCTCACTCGGCAGGCTCTCTCCAACTTTGATGTGCAGCGATTCTGCAGGACGTTTACTGTTGAGTCTCCGGCGCTTCATGGATCGGGTGTCTCACCCCTGCACCCATCCGGCACGCTACCCATCCGGCACGCATGCTCGGAAAAAACAAACGCTTTACTAAACTCCTGGCAGCTCTATAACATGCTAGCTGAAATTTCCAAACTCTTGTTGTCAACGTGCACGGCTGTAATTTCTGGGTACAAGAAAAGCACTGCTGTTTCCTCAACTCCAATGGTCTGCCCCTGACCAGCGGAGCTCTTGAACAACACCAAGCACATATCTTGAAACTCAGCAGTGTCGAACCCCTGCATTCCTGACGCCCTAAAACTTGGGGAAGTCGAACGGAGGAACCCTAAACTTGGAATCCGGCCTCCATCTTCCGTAGTCCCACCGTCTCTGCACGCAGCACTCTCTTGACAAAAGCGACTTGAGCTTTTGCTGCTGCAGCCTCGGGCACATGAGCTTGGCCGAAGGAGTGCGCAAGTCTCAAAGCTGCTTGTCAACGCCGGGGCACTGCCTCGTCAAACTCTCCACGCCAAAGATGTGCTTCCTGATCCCACGGTTGACGAAAAATGAGGTGGCATAAACGTGCGAAGTGCTTGGAAAACCAAGAATACGTGACAGTTCAGCTTCCCACAGCGATTCTTGCCATTTCAAACACGCGTTTTGAAGTTTGACGCGTTTGCGTGCATCTGCGTGTTTACACCGCTCTTTACTACAATTCTTCTTGTAAAATTACATGCTAGCCAGAACGTAGGCCTATCATGCAGCAAATGCGTTAAGAGAAGGAGGGAGTGACGGTCCGATGGTGCAGTACCCAACTACACGCTCCGGCTGTGGGAAAACTAGCAGTCTGATCTGGCCAGGATCAAAGCATGTTGCACAAGAAGAAGTACTGCACGCCTGTATATCAGGAAAATGTGATGTGAACAAAGAGTACGAAACATGAGCTACTACACGCTCCGGGTGTAGCACCCTACTACACGCTCCGCGCTGTGGGAAAACTCGCAATTTGGCCAGCGGCGGTTTTCGACGTTAAAGTTATTGACCTAGGGTTATTGTTGCACAGGAACAGGTTCTACACGCTACATGCTCGCTTGTTTTCATGGAATTTCCACGATTTTGGGGTGATGTGAACAAAAAGTACGAAACATGAGCTACTACACGCTCCGCGCTGTGGGAAAAGTCCGATTCTGCGCATGGAGCAAGACCGGGTGTAGCACCCTACTACACGCTCCGCGCTGTGGGAAAACTCGCAATTTGGCCACCGGCGGTGTTTCGACGTTAGAGTTATTGACCTAGGGTTATTGTTGCAGAAGAACAGGTACTACACGCTACACGCCCGCTTGTTTTCATGGAATTTCCACGATTTTGGGGTGATGTGAACAAAAAATACGAAACATGAGCTACTACACGCTCCGCAATGAAAATCCCTACATTTGATGTTGTATCTTGGTTTTTATGTTTTTTTCTCTGGAGGTGGTGTTGGGTAATGGGCTTTGGTGGATTTTCATCACAAATTCCGCGTCTTTTGTCTTCGCTTGGTTCGACAAGCAAAGAAAATCCCTACATTTGATGTTGTATCTTGGTTTTTATCCTTTTTTGTCTGGAGGTGGGGTTGGGTAGTGGGTTTTGGTGGGTTTTCATCACAAATTCCGCTTCTTTTGTGTCTTCGCCGGGTTCGAAAAGCAATGAAAATCCCTACATTTGATGTTGTATCTTGGTTTTTATGTTTTTTCTCTGGAGGTGGTGTTGGGTAGTGGGTTTTGGTGGATTTTCATCACAAGTTCCGCTTCTGTTGTCTTCGTTTGGTTCGACAAGCAATGAAAATCCCTACATTTGCTGTTGCATCTTGGTGTTTATCTTTATTTGTCTGGAGGTCGCGTTGGGTAGTGCGCTTTAATGTATTTTCATCACAAACCCTCGCTCCCTCCCTCCCTCCCCCTTGCTCGCTCGCTCGCCCGGTCGTGGAGCGCATCAGTATAGTGTGCATGCAAGTTTCAGTCTGTAGCTGAGAACAGCTCATAGCCAAGTGCCTGCCTCAAGGGAGAAGTTGCCGTGGTAGTCGCAATCGCATCGGCTGGCTCCTCGTGGCAGCGACTGGGGAGACACACAGCAGGAGCTATTCATGCCCCTCCTTGTATGCAGAAGCTTCCTGACTGTCGCAGGTGATGCTTCGGCATCGGCTGGGTCCTCGTCGCGGGGACACTGTTGCATCAAGACCTGTGCTACTTACAGTTGAGAACAGCTCTGAGCCGAGTGCCGGCCTCAAGGGAGAAGTTGTCGTGGTAGTCGCAATCGCATCGGCTGGCTCCTTGTGGCAGCGACTGGGGAGACACACAACAGGAGC